GCTGCGCGTTTGCCCCAGGGCGCCTGCTCCATGTCTTCCACAGGGCGACCCGTGGACACCCACGGTGTGCAGAGCCGGGCTGCGCTGCGCTGGGGAGCGGGCTCTGCCTTGCGCGTCTTCCGCTGTGGCTCAGGCGGGTGCTTCTGGCTGCTGAGTGGACCAAGACGAGGGCGCGGCAGCTTCTGTAGACGCTGCGTCACCGGATGCTGCCCGCGGGGCCCCAGCTGCCCAGTGTGAGGGGCTAGACCGGGGCGGCCGTGCTACAGCCTGCCAAGTCTGCTCCCGCGTGTCCTAGCTAAGAGGTGACGAAAGGGCACTGGGCCCAGGTCTGGGGAAACCTGAGGGCCAGGCAGAAGGAAATAAGCGCACACCGGCCCTGCCACCTTCCCCCGCGTCTCCCCAGCGCCCTCTACCGCCTATCACTGACAGAGCCCAGTTCAGCTCCTCGGAAATCACAGAGGAGCCTGTGTTAGGGGAAGCAGCCAAGGGACCCGTGTAGCCATGCACCTTGTATTTGACGGCCTTGGAAGCAATGCCTCCCCACCAGCTGGTGCTCAGTCTGGAGCAGTGGGAAGAACCCTGCAGGCTTCTCTTGGGTCCGGGGGCTGGAAGACGCTAGGGCTCTGGGAGGCTCCGGAAAGAGAAGCTTGGAGCCCCGCTGAGGGCTGTAGTGGAGAGGCCTGGGGTTTCAGGCAGTGACACGGGACATGCCAGAGCTGGGAATGGGTGGGGTTTAGGGAGAGCACTGGTTAGAGTGCGTGGGGCGAAGGGGCATGGGTGTCGGCCGTGCCGGCAGGGCTCCAGTGCTGAGGACCAGGGACTCCACCCTCAGCACCCGAAATCACCCAGCCTTTGAGCCTCTGTCAAAGGAAACTTAGTTGTTGGGACTTAAAAACAAAGATTTAAAAGCTGAGTCAATGACCTTGTTCAAGAATTAACAGAGACAGAGAAAATAATCCTAAAATTCATATGGAGCTAAAAGTAACTTTGAACAACAGGGGCAGAGTGGGTGGTGTAGCAATACCTGACTTCAAGCTATTCTGCAAAGCAATAGTGACAAAAACAGCGTGGTCCTGGGACAAAATGGGACAGAGTTGGGGATATAGAAGCCTCCCCAGACTCGTGCAGCTGTTTGATCTTTGACAGAGGGGTCAAAAGCATGTGTGAGAGAAACGATAGCCTGTTTAACGAGTGGTGCTGGGAAAACTGGTTTTGTGCACAAAGTTGAAACTGGACCTTTATTTCTCACCACGTACTACTTTAGAATCAAAATGAGTCAGCCCTAAATGCTAACCCCCCTGGGAGATACAGTAGGTGAAACACTGAAGATACAGGTGTAGGAAAAGATTTCCTAAACAGAACCTGAATCACACAAGAACTAAAAGCAAGAATCAGCACATGGAATTATATCAGCTAAAGAGCTTCTGCCCAGCAGAAGAAGCAGGCAGTGGAGTGGAGAGAAAACCTACAGAACGGGAACAAAATCTTCCCAGCTACTCCGCAGACAGAAGTAATATCTAGAATATACAAAGAACTAAAAAAAAAAAAAAAAAAAAAAAAAAAGTAAACCTTCTAAAATCAAAAATCCAGTAAGAACTGGGCAAGAGAAATGAACATATTTCACAATTGTTAAGGAATAAAACCGTGACAGAAGCTGGAGAGACTGAGGTGGAAAAGGAACCCTCCGTCACTCCATTGTGGTGGGCAGTGTGGAGATGTCGCGGAGAACTGGAGTTAGAAATTCCGTGACCCAGTGAGCCCCTGCCGGGTGTCTTCCCACGGAGCTGAGCACATCGGGCTTCAGGGCCACGCACACAGCAGCGTTTACAGCCGCACAACCTGTAATAGCTGAGTCCCGGAAGCAGCCTTTGTAGCCATCAACAGATGGTGGGGTAAAAACCTGTGGTTTTGACGGACGCGTCATGAAATATTACTCGGCTGTACCGAATGACGAGGTTGGCACATCTGTAGGAACATGGAAGCACCTGGAAAACACAGCGTTGAGTGAAATAAGCCAGACATACAGGCCTAAGTACCATTGGCGTCTCTCGCTTGAGGGAGGCCAAGTACAAATGCAGAGAATGATAAAGG